TCTCGTACATATTCTGAATGTCGAACATGTTGCCATCTTTAATGGCCTGGTAAAAGTTCAGCAAGAAATATTTCACATTGTCCGGCATGCGATAGTAGCTATTGCGTTCATAGGCCATATCCAATTGTGGATCATCAGTATGGGCGTACTTATCGTAGTATTCCACATTGCCATAATCCTCTCCCGTATACATTTTGATGTTATCAAATATTTTCTAATGCAAAATAACAGAAATTCCACGCAAAATGATTTATTATTAAATAAGAAAGAGAACAACAACGAACTCTATAATGCAAGCGGCCAACGCTGACAACAATGTATGTATCAGCTGTTATTTTCTTTGTTTGCTCTTACAAAAAATATTGTAAGGGCAAATAAATGTTTGCCCAAAAATAAGGAAAATGTTTGCTAGTCGGCGTTCCCATTGTGGGCAAATCACGCCAAATTTTATTTGCTGTCAAATAATTTTGTTTGCCCAAAATCAGCTGTTTTTGTGTTTGCCATTGAAAATATTTTGTGGTCAGATTATTACGGCTACAGGCCTGTCAAGTTAACTATTGGCCAGATTTTCACTCTGCGTCATATCCTCGAAAAGATCTCGTTTTGGAACAGTCCTGAGTTTCGATATTTTGAAGGATTTATTCGCATTTTCCAACCGAAGGTATTTCGCGAACATTTCAAGTTCCTTGAACATAAAATACATGCACATTTTAATATGGCGCCCAATTAAATATCCGCCCTATTTTGAATGTAATCGCCTCAGAAAATTGACATTTGGTATTCTCAGAGGATACTAAATATATTTGCATAAATTTTTCAATATAGGTCCATATTTTTGCAATCGAATAGACCTTTTTCGAATTTATTAGCATTTTCCAAACCAAAGGATTTTCATTTGGTATTTTGCATTTTTAGATTGAGGAACACATTGGAAGACCTATAAAGTTCTCCATCCATATTAGTCACATTTTCCGTGGACATAGGCACATTTTCTTACCAAAGTGGCAGTAGTTTGACATTCCGGGTTCTAAGTGGGTGAAAAAGAAAACTTCTAGGCAATAACTTTTAAATGTGAATCCATATATTGGCATCTCGGTTCTCATTGGATGAAATACCTTCTGAAATGTTCTGTGTATGCCCACAGATATACATATACAGAGCCCACCTTATCCAACGTATTTCAAAAGCCATAGAGGCAACCGAAGTGATGGAAGTTTTGGCATTTCATATTCTGAAAATAAAATACATACACATTTTGATGTGGCGCCCAATTAAATGTCCGCACTATTTGTGCTATTTTGAATATAATCGCCTCATGTTTAGGTTTGTGTTGCAGAAATTTGACATTTGGTATTCTCAGAGGATAACAAATAACTTTTCGGGCAATTTTAAAATTTTCAATATAGGTTCGGTTGGTTTAAGGATTTATTAATATTTTCCAACCGAAGTGGCTGTAATTTGATACTTCCCCTTTTTTAAGGGGGAAAAACGTGGCACTTTCCAGGTTCTTAGTGGGTGAAAAAAATTAACAGAAAATTTAAAATAGGGATACATATTTTGCACAATTTGAAACAATATATTCGAAAACTAGAATTATATAAGTATTAGTTTTAAAGAAGAAATTTGAAACCTGTTTTATCGATTCTAAGTTTGAATTCTTAATAATGTTCTCAATCTCTGCTATCACCCACACAACTCGATGGAGCGGAGCTTTATGTTTATTTTATATAAATCGTATAATAATCTTATTTTGCTAAATTCTTATCAAGTGTGCATAAAAATTCAAATTTGTATATTTTTTTGATTCAACTTTTACTTTCATGGCTGAAAATAAAAAATCTGCTACTGTTTTCGTTTCAATACAAATTGTTCATTTGCATATCAAGAATAACTCTGAAAGTGATTAATTTATTAATTCATTGAAGCAACAATTAGCAATTTAAATATACAGCGAAGAAAACAAACTGCTTGCCATCAGGTCAATAAAAAAATATTTTGACAAATTTGAATTTAATTATATTAAGGTTCTTCTTTTCTATATGAATTTCAAAACGTTTTTTTTTTGTTCTTGGTTCTTTTTTTAATTCGTTTTAAAATATGTTTGGAATTTCTGAACAAAGATATTCAGCAACGTGACCATATATCACTTAATGTTCAATATTAAATATTGCATTATTTTTTTTAATGGGTGAGACACCTCACCTCAAAGAATATTTGTTTAATACTATCAGAAGATTAGACTTTTTAAAGACCAATTTTTTAGAACTATGATTTGTTTAAGGATTAAGGAGAATTTTTGTAATAATATATTTTTAACATTGAGGTAAATAAAAAATTGGGTTTCTAGAGAATATTTTTTTAAGTAACAGAAGCGCGGATTCTCCGAAGAATATATTTAAAGGATCAATACAAGCCCGGAGCAAAATGGATGTCTCAAAACATATTATATAGTAGGCTATATATTAAAGGAGCAATAGGATCGATTCTGCTAGGAAAATAGGGTAATAATTTCGGGTAATCGACCAGCTGACAAAAATATATCGGCTGTAACTGCAATGATTTCACGGAATATTCTTTGTGCTACCCGTGCATCAGAAGGAATGGAAAGTTCTCTGAGGCGCTGGTTGGTGAACTCTCTGAATCCTTGCCAGTTGGCTTTTCTATGGTTATAGAAAGAGCGGCGCTCAGATATGATAAAATCGAGCGGTCTGCTTATGCATTCGAGCTGCCACTTGACGCCATTGATCAGACCTGGTGACACAATGTTTACGTTCTGCACTGTACATGAGAATGTCCCCACCAGAATAAGGGGAGAATGTCACATTTCGCCAGACATAACCATTGTGTCACCAGGTCATTACCTAGGACGGAATGCCACAACTCATGGTGAGCATTGAAATCCCCTAGTACCATAGGAATCTAATATTAGGCAAATAACGCGGTTGACAGCTATTAATCGGCGATATATATATACGAGATAGGCCTATATTAAATAGAGTATTGTATTAGAAATGCTAGGCCCTTATCTCCACAATCTCCTGTACATCACGATGATGTAGGCTAAACTTTTCATTGAGCTTGGTTTCCTGCATCGCCGTGACCAAGATATTCTTCCGATTCATAAAGTCCACGATCTCATCTATTTTTCCTCGAGGACCGTTGCAATTACATTGCAAAAACTGACTGAAGTATGAACAGCAACGTGCGGGGTTAAATGTTGTATATTGGGCTCGGGTCAATCCGGTATTGTAGAACCCGCTGACGTGAGTAGATTCTACACAATATGTGTAAAATCTATTCCAACCGATGTGATGGAAATTTCGGTATTTCAAGTACTCCGAGATAAAATACGGCAATTGTCTCATGTTTACAGCCTATATTGTAGAAATTTTGGTATTTCTCATTACTCAGAGGATTTTTGCAGAAATGTACCAATACAAGTCCATACTTTGCAATAGCCCCTGTATAAGTATCCCGGTATTATTACGTATGACGGTATTGAAAGTATTTCAAAGGCCATAGACGTATTTTCCAACTTAAGTGATGGACATTTTGGAATTTCAAGTTATGTGAGATAAAATTTACACACACACTTTGATATGGCGCCCAATTAAATTGCCGCACTTAAATCCCGCCTTTATTTTGGGTAAGTATAGTTCGCAATGGTGAGAATTTTTTTTTTCTAAGAAACTCCTTTTTGTGTGTTTAATGGTCCTGGGTGCATTTTCCAAACGAGTTGGCTGTAATTTGGAATCATGGTTCATGATTCTTTGCAGAAAACATTTCTAATACGGTTCAATTAATAAAGTCCCGTTCCATTTCAGAGGATTTTGATTGTTCTAAACTCATATTCCAAGCGAGGTGGTTATAAGAAGGAGGTGTTCTCGGAGGTTAAAAAATATCGTATAAATGTTCCCGCCTTTTTTAGCTATATTTTCCGACAATTTATCGAGCGACAAGGCGAAGCGATGAATACTACATCGTATAAAATATTTTTCCACCGAGGAGGTACTGTGGATAATGTTGCCTGAAATCGTCTAAAACAGCTTCAGGCAGAGATATGCTATTTTTCACACAAATTATTCTCAAAGTGAGCCAGCGTACGGCGGTTTTTCTGATGCGGATCTAAATCGCTGGTCTCTTCCGAAACTCTATGGTTATGGTGAGACTGCTGGATGAGCCAGGAGTTGAGTATCTGATAAAAAAACAAACTCCAGTTTTCTGAGGGCTATGTTTCTACAGATTTTTTTTTTGTATTTCGCATACCCAACATAAAGTGGAGGGTGAAAAAAGTTTGGCCTGACCGAACTTAACGTTTTTATTACCAAATAGAATCGAAATAGCTATTTTTTGGCAAAGGTGCAAATACATTAAGGACTATCAGATTTCCAACATTAAGGACTATCAGATTCCTAAACTCACCATTTCGTAAATGAAAATTCCGATTTAATTTTGACTTATTTGTACCGAATTCTACTACAATTTCCTTATTATTTTCTACGCCTTGAATCAAGCTTATCAAACTGCTTAATCTTTCCATTTGATTAAAAAAATTCGCAAACATGAGATAAACAACTGGCGATGCAAATATTTCGAATGATGATTAACTTCAAGTGTGGTGTTAACTGGACCACACGAACACAGCAGCAACAACAACAACTTATTTACATATCAAAATACTCCGCAAGAAAAAACAACAATAAAATCAATAAAGCTGTCAAAATTGAAAAAAAAAATCAAAAAACCCAAACTGTCAAATTAATACTTTGCTAAAATTAGTAGAAGAAGACGAAAAAAAAAACAAACAAATAACTAAAGCAAAATCAATGAACCCACAAACAAACATGGCTAATAGAAATAAATCGAAAAATAAAACCAAAAACTAAGAATGTGGCGCCATATAACCCTTGCTATAAATTCGGCAAGTATTCAGTAGCGAATAAGCAGCAGAACTAGAAAAGTCACAAAATAACAAATTAACAAAAAAAAAACTCCCAAAAATGTTCAAATTAGTAAGTTTTTCTTCTACTCTTCGGATTCGAAATAAATTAGAAGGCAATTAATATAAATTTCCTAATTTTATTCTATCCACAGATCATTGTAGTGTCAACAATTGTGGCCTTGGCTTTCGGTGCTCCAGCCAATCCTGAAGATCAAGCAGCCGAGACTTTGAAATATGTCAACGTTGTCAACACCGATGGCAGTTACACATTCGAATATGAATCTTCGAATGGCATTAATTTCGGTGAAAATGGTGTCGGTGGTGAAAATGCAGCCGGTAAATTCTCCTACACATCACCTGAAGGTGAACCCATCCAGTTGACCTACACAGCCGATAAAAATGGTTACCAACCCCAAGGCGAACATTTGCCCACCCCACCACCAATTCCCGATTACATTTTGAGATCATTGGAATATATCGAAAGTCATCCCTTCCCCAAGATTCAATTGGCAACAAAGTAAATGTCATAAAATAGTTATGTTGTTGTAATCATAGATCATTTTTCGTTATAAAATAGTGTAAATTGTATTAAAAAAAATTACCATAGATTCATATTTTAGGATGTAATAAAAAAAATAATGTGATATAAAAATATATATGTTTTGTGGTTGTGAATTTTAATGATCTAGAATGGTTCGTTAGACCTTTGAAGGATATTTCTTATATGATAATGACCGGAACGACAGTTCCAGTTTTTTTTTTCATAGTACGCATTTGCCTATTGGTACTATGGAAAAGACTGCAGAAATCTCCACCCAGAGTATTAAGGAATATGGTGGCTATTCCCGTATTTAGGAATACAAAAAATACGTGGTTCGAAGGGAACTCATTTTATTTAGAATATGTTCTTAACTCTGGACCTAAATATCAATAAATAAAACTATATATGCTCAGAAGATGACATTGTTCCGGTTGTTTCGATATCATGGCAAAGGTATGAATTTCCTACCTACAATGCGAATTTTGCAATAAAATAAACTAATGTGATGTTGTACGAGTTCCAGAACACAAAACCTGCAAAGATTTTAAAAATTATAAAGCAAAAATCATACAAAAAATCTCGATTAATAGAAGATTCTTGCAGGAACACATCAAAAATATACCACATTACTTCTCTGGCTCGTGACATATCATTTGTTCCATAAGCCAAGCTTAAAAAAGATTTCCAGGCGCGTCGGACTTCTGCGAAGCACTTCCAATTTGAAAGACCATGCTCCGAGACATTGTCTTCCACTTGATCTTTCAGGCGAATTCGTGGCCTTTCCCTTCTACGCGATCCATCAATTGGCTCGATTTTATATGCCTTTGGAGCTGGGACATCCTCATCCATTCTCAGAACATGACCTAGTCAACGCCGTAGCTCGATACGTCTGATTATGTCACTGTCCGAAAATAGATGGTACAACTCATGATTCATTCGCCGGCGATATTCACCGTCGACGCAGATCGGCCCATAGATCTTTCGGAGAATTTTTCTCTCAAACACTCCAAGAGCTGCCTCATCTGAGCGTCATGAGCTCCATCGATCTAACCCCGCAAATTCCAGGGGCAGAGAACTCACTTTGAAGGTCAGCAGATTTGTCGCAGATCAGAATAAATGATTGGAGCATCTAAAGTGTTGCAACATCGGTACTGTTGCGATTAAACTGTGGACAACTGTTAAGTAGCTTTCGAACACTAGCAAGAAGCATGAAATGATCTCAGTCACATTTAATCGACTCCATCAGCAAACCGCCTTATCACCTCGAAGAGTTAACCAACCATCGTTTCAGAGAACTTTTCATTCCTTATGATGTAGGAGTAGTAGAAATAGACATCCGAGACATCATTGAAGTTGCAGCCAAGATGGTATCTAATTTTCCGGCAGAGGCAGTTGGATTAGCAAATGTTCGTCATGAGTTACTTTTATCTAACCCCGCAGATCCCAAGGTCAAGGAACTCGCTTTGGAAGTCAGTAGATTAGTCGCGAAGCATAAGCGAAATTTTCCAACATCGGAACCTGTGTGAGTAAACTGTGGACAACGGTTAAGTCCCTTTCGACTCTCAGACATATTTAACGTCGGACATATTTAACGTCGAAACTGTAACTGATCCAAAGAGATACGACAGTTATTTTTACCGACAATTTATCGAGCATCAGGGGCGAGAAGGCGATCGAAGAGTACTACGTCGTAAAGAATCTCTTCCCGCCGAGGTGGTACTACCAACACACTTTACTGTGGGTGATTTTGCTAGAGTCATTCGTATCCCGATATCATCTAAAGAGTTGGTCTCTTAAGGAATCTCTATGGTCGTGCTGAGTCAGCTGGATGAGTCAGGAGTTGAGTATCTGAATAAAGTCCTTAATTTGCCCACATCGTTCCCAAACCTTGGAAATGAATAGGGTGGTCCTGCTACTGAAGCCAGGTCGATCCCACTTTTGTCACCAGTAGCGAAGACTATTGAGGCATTATTTCTGCCCAGAATTGAGGAAAACTTTCCAGTTGCACTGATCTGCAACTGGAAAGTTTTCCCCAACTTATATAAACCAGAAGCGAACATGCCACAGAATAGTCTTGGTAACGCTTTACCTAAAAAAATCCTTTTGTACCGTCAATGTTCGAGCAAACTACGAAATCTTCGACCACGTGGAATGCGGAGATTAAAATGCCACTGAATGAGCAGGTCGAGGGGCACACAATTTCGACCACTAAATACCACAAAATTCTCGGTATCACATTAGCATTGATATAAGTTAAACAAGTATCTTAAAGAGTTTATGTGAGTTCCTGCCAATAGTCCTACCTCACAGTGGCTGAGCCACAGGCGGAAAAGCGCCCACCAGCGCTCCAGCACCGAAGTACTGTACCAATTGGAGAGCATGCAGAAGGCACTCACTCCCCCTTGGTGAGGGGCGAAACCACAACCCCCGCGAAGCTCCCCAGGGGGCCACACCAACTGTCAGGCTGGATCGACAAATCCAGGGGCACCTGACACCCGCGGTACGGAAAAACCTCCGCTCAGGCTCGAGTAGTATGACGCACGTCCGGGCTGGTATCCCAAAACAACAATAAGCAACGACGATAACCGCAGGTGGCAAGGAAAAACCCGGCCACAAGCAGTGACAAATACACAAATCACAAACAATTAACATGCTGTCCTCACGAGGACCACCTCCACTAAGTACTGTCCTTCTCCTAAATGCTTCACGAGCAAAACTACTTAACCAACTAAAGGTCCGATCGTCTTCAAGTGCCCTACTGAAATCCCACCCCGCCCCTCCATTCGATATACCCATACTTGCTAAATCTCTAATGTCATCATAGTAACAGCATTCCGTCAGTATATGCTTCCAGTCCTCGGTCATCCCGCACCCACATAAATCCGTCTGGGCAAGGCCTCTTTTATGCAGAAAAGCATTAAGAGAGCCATGCCCCGTCAGTAAGAAACCAGTACTTAAGCCGAAGCGAAGGTCTGGCCGGTCCACTACGAACGTTGCGTCACGAATAAATTCGTACGTCACCCTCCCTTTGTCACTGTTCGTCCACCTAGTCCTCCACCTATCAACAACACTGTCCCGAAGGATAGTGCTGTACCGCCTACACTCCCCATCCACCAAATCAGAAGGCCTGAGCCAATCATCCTCATCCAACTGCAAACCACGCTTAAGCTTATACATGATAGAAGAAAATTCAAGTCGCTTACCGGTAATACTCGAGCGCAGATTAGGGAAACGTATTGAATTATTCAGACATATCAGAACGCCGTTCTGAGAACTGCAACCGGATGATGCTTTATTACACCTGCGTACCACTACATTCGGAGACAAAGGTCAGTCCCATACGCCAGTATAGCAACATGCTTTCGTTGCAGTACCTGTTTGGTTGTTTCAGAGAGAATCATCCTAACTATCATATGGTGCAGGGGGGAGCCCGAAACCGTTATCATGCCTCAACCACTGTATTAACCGGACTTGATCCCCGAAAAATCGAAAAAGAATTAATATAATTATTTGTTTTGATCATACCTCGTATATATATAGAAAATGCATATTGCAATAGTAAATTCTAACCCCAATCCAATATTCAATTTGGGCGCCATCTGTAACTTGATAATTTCAGAACCGTCAATAAAAAACCATTTCAGCTCTAAAAATTCGCTTTTATCAATAAAGCTATGACTAACTTTATTAGCCGTTTCATAATCTTCTTTATCACACGTTTTGGTTATTAGCAAATATTCGTATGTTCTAAATGCTTGCAGATTATAAAGTCTTAAATTTTTACACCAAACAAAAAAAAACTATAAATTGATTAGCATCCAATATAAAAATTCGTTAATCTGATTAATGTTTTTTTTAATATTTACGACAATATTTTATTATAAATACAATTTACCAGAACGTGGAAATTTCTTAAACAACATCATTAGTTCCAGTGTTTGAACACATGTTAATAATAGGCTGTCAAACAGGTCATAGTTAAGTGATTAATTTGATTTATGATCTACATTAAAAACATTATGAAGTTTGTCAAGTTCTGTGTTTCTCAAACACTGGATTTCTTTGTTTTCAGTTAAATTAATTTAGACAAAATTAAGAAAACTTCTGGAATGTTAATAGTTTAAGCAACTAATTTGCGGAACAAGCATAAGAAATGTAGTCGGTTGAACATATCAGAGATCAATCATCTATTTTTCCAATACCTATTACCATGGCATAATATATATAGATAACCCATTTAGCACAGCTGATAATAAAGATAGTAATACCGTGATCTGATGCACTGCCAAAGTGCATAGCTTCTATCAAGGTCTATTAAGCTCTATTGGTAATGCCATCCAGGGAGATCAGCTGGATAACAGCTGCCTCTCAAGTTTACAAACGCCAAAATTTTGACATTAGACTTGAGAAAAACAACTGATTTTCGCTAGCTGGATGACGTTATTAATAGATCTTGGCTCATACCATTATGTAACAATAAGGTGATGTATCAAAACAAAAACATCTGTCGTGGTCCAATAAACAGGCCGTGTAATAAGCGAAATGATTTCAGCCGAACTGTCAAAATTCGACTTAATCGTGTGAAAACGTAAACAAAAAAATGACAGTTAGAGGGATTTTCTACGAAAATTGCTTATAATATTCGCATCTTACACGACCTATTTATTGGGCCATGGTAGTAATATTTGTCATGATTGGCAACATTGTACGTCAAATTTAAGTAGAAACCATGGCACAATGGCTGATTAACTGGCACAGCTGATGTCTTGATTAACTGTCAAAGTATGTAATTTCTACTTGAATTCGATGTGCAGTGTTACCAACCATTTGAAATTTTATGTGGAAAAATTTGACAGATAATCGAGACAAAAACAAAGGTTTTTGTTTTGATACATCACCTTATTATTGCATCATGGTAGAAACCATGATAAGGTGATGTATCAAAACAAAAACCTTTGTTTTTGTCTCGATTATCTGTCA